TAACGTACCTGTCATTCACACACTAGATGGGCATTAATGGTGAGGAATGAACTGATGATGTGTTAAGCGGCTGAGTTTGTGGTTAAACTGAATAAGCGCCAGAATAGTAATCTAAAGACTACCAGCCTGCATCTTACCGCCGCCTGGATTTTAATTTGCCTTTGAAATATTGCAAGTTACCTAATTAAATTACTTTTCCTCCCGACTAGATCATACGGCTTGAAGGTTGAACTTCGAAGCTTCAGCAGCTCAGCGGTTTTGTCTTCCATAGGGTGAGGTGGCTAACCCCAAGCCCAAATTTCTCTCTTTTCTTAGTCTACTATGTGCTAGACAAAGTTTGAGAATACGTTAGCTCGAAGGGAGTCTGAACTTTCGTTACATCAATAGAAATCTCTCAATCTTAAACCTATCCTATTTAATAAAAAATATAAATATGAATCGATGTAATTATTAATTGAATTTTTTTGAATTTCAAATTGACTGGTTGTTGTCGGCCGAAGTCCTTTGTTTGTGTCTACCCAGTGAACAAATGGATAACAATTCTTTTTCCCTTTTGAAACTATGAATGTCAGGTTTAATTCCAAATGAAAACACCAACACTCACTGGGAATATTGGTACATCTAGTTGAAGAGGCAAAATAGGATATTATAGGTGTTTCGCGCTCCAGCCAGTCAGCCACCATTCACCAAGCAGTACACTCAAACGTTTGGAGAGAAAGTCTTCCTTTGCTCATTTGCTAAATTTTCTTTAGACATAGCACTCATGTCTAACCATGCATAGCCGTTCAGTGTTAAGTACAAGAATTGAAGACAGTTTAGCTAACCCTGACTCATTTTCATATACCTATTGATTTCATTATTTCTGATCATTAGATGATAGAAAGTGTATGATAAGGCAGGTTCAGCTCCTAATTCAGTTTAACAGAGGTTGTATACCTAGTACACATGCGTAACACACAGCATCATACAGGCTGTAATATACTATTTTTTGTCATTTACCTCAATACTTTCTCATTGGGCACGTATGCGTACTCTTCGTGCAGTTTACGTTCTGGTCATAAGGTCTGCTTAACCAGATCTATATATTCAGGAGAAACATATCCGGACTTGATTTATTCATGATAAACTTCTTTCTTGTTCATAACTTCCAATTTTTATTTGATTTTATAGCCAAGACTAAGAAATATGCATCCAGAAAGATGCTGTAGCTATCAATACCAGAAGACCAGATCTTTGTATACAAAAGACCAGTATGTTCAACCGCTATATTTATCTTGGTCTAAAATATGGCCAACAACTCCTCTATAAAGAATAGCACTTTAAATTTCTATCTTAATTCTTTTTCACTTTTCTTCTTCTTTTCCTCTGTTTCACTGAAGAACATCCATATCTGACCTTTACAACTTCTGTAACCTGTCTCATGATTTCTATTACCTTAGGTTTAAATTATGCCTGTCTAACTTGTTATCACATTTACGCAAGCCCGTTCATTTCACTTCACTAAATTCATTATTGATTGTCATTCATTCACGAATAGTAGTTTTAAGTCTACACCACATCATCGTTATTATTTCACAATCATTATTACTGTCATTATTTTCATCCTTGAGCTTACGTCTAGTTCACTCTGTTCGTTGGTTTATTCTCTGTGGTATGCATTTTGTCTTACACACCACTGATTACACTCACTCACGAAAGCTGTACTTTTGTTGACAATATATATATATACTGGTTGAAGGATCTCATCATGAACTGACATTGGTTTGAGAATCATTGGAAAAACACCAAGGAGTACTTGACAGCTGTATGTTCTAGTTTTGGACTCTTCATCGGTACGCACCCACCGGGGTTCAAAACAAGGACATTCCAGTCACAAGGCAGCAAGCTCGTAGATCACAAAACCACTAGGATCCAATCCAATGGCCAGCTCATGAATTCCAATTTCTGCTACTTCACGAAATAGAGTGACCACTTAGCAATGTATTAGTCCTCACCCCTTTGACTTACTGCACCCAAACTAAGATGAAACAGCTATCCAGTACTCCCAGCTGGTTTTTTAATGGTTCCCTAAATGATGTCAGCTCATGATTAAATTCTCCAACCAATCAGAACAAAGCCATACAAATCAATACTTGAAATAAATGTATATATATATATATATATATATCATTGAATTATTTCTTCTCATTTCATCGCATGTTCTGATTGACCATGAATATTCAAAAAATAACTGACTATTGTTTCATCCTATTTGTGAAATGATTTTAATTCGCCTCTTACTGGCTTGCTATTGTATGCTTAAATCAATCAATGGATTTATAATTGTAGGAGCGTGATTGAGGAGAATTTATTGAAACCACAAATGTTCGCTCAAACTAATTTTGTTCTGAATAAATATCTCATTTTTGAGAAATAAAATTTAGAAGATTATGAGTAAACCCTAAGCGATTTTTGTCTATCTATGAAATTATAGTTTTAGAATATATTCTACGTATCTGTGACAAGTATCCATCGTCTAAACTTGTCTGAATAACAAGTATTTCAGTGTGCAGTAACTTTTTTCAGCGATTTCACACTCCTGGCTATAGAATCATGTCTATATACGTAATTATGTTTCATAATAATTATTAGCGGCATAAAAACATCAGACTATAAAATTTTAGTCTTTCAAATGGTTAAAATGTGTGTTCATTTCTTTTAAAAACCCAATATATAATTAAAAAAACCATTCTATGGAAACAAAAATAATTACACATGGTTGTGATCCTGCATGTATGTGAATGAAATGACCGAAAATAGTCTCTTCGTTGGATTGCTTGTTCTTATTTACATGTGTGCTGGTAAGTCTGAATGATTCCATTATCACAAATGGCAAAGAATTTAAGACTAAATCTAATCTCAAATACCTGGGATTCTGCATTCGATGTGATCTTTCCTGATACTTCCCACATCATGTTAATCTCTAGAAAGATATTCCGTTTAACGCCCGAAGTAAGGGAGTCAAGACTGACTGATATCACTTAGTCCACACTTTGACAGCTTGTTAATTCTTATATTCTGCCTATCCTTCTTTAATGCTTCCCCTCTCACTTTAGTCTTGCCTGGGCTTCTTAAGAAAGACTTTTCTATGCTGCGAGGGCCCCGAAGAACCGTCAGTAGGGCAAATGAAGTAACGCTAAACAACCTCTTTAGTACTCTTTTAGATAGACACATGGATGCCTATTTAGTTGTTATTATTATTACTGTTTCCTTTAAATCCTAGAGGAAAATAGGGTTTTAGCCTCACGTCTACATTGCGTTCAGTTCTCTGCCAACATTTTCACTTGACTTTACTTCTGCCTACATGATTTCATCTCCTCTTAACATGACCTCCTCCATGTCACCTGTCACTGACGGCCAACTCGCCGATTCCCATCCGGGTCTCACTCGAGTGTTGGCCTGGCAGGTGGTGTTACCTGATGGTTTCCTCAGAGTATCGACATTCCACCTGAATTTCCTCGTACATATTTGTTACACATTTGGTTCCTGCTTTATTGGTTCGCCCATCACCAGAGATCCCTGTTGCTGATCTTTTCTGGCCGGCCATCTGATCTTGTGTAGCATTGAGCGAAGACAGTTTTTGTAGTCCCCTTCTTGACGCGTCGCGGCGCCAAGTTTCTGATCCGTAGATTCACTAGTGCTGAATTCACACTGCAGTCGAAAATCCGAATCTTCCATTTCATGCTGAATGCTGCTGATCTCCACACAGACTTGAGATTAGTTAGTGCTTGACCTCCTTTTCCGATCTTCATTGCTTTGATATCCTCGTCAGTTTCGTCCGCCTGCCATTGAAACGACTGCTGCTGTTGTTCGCCAGGAATCTTCATCACCTCTGTTTTATCTATGTTCACTTGAATTCCCTCCTATCTGTGGTGCTTCTTCTGCCAACTTGTTGCTTTTCACTTGCATATCTTCCAGTTTGTGGGAAATCAGACATATATATCACGTCGGCGAAGTCCAGATCTTCCAAGTTTTTGTGTGGGCCCATTTTATTCCTTTTTCCTCTCTGCCCGCTCTCTGTCTGTCGCATTATCCAGTCAACCGCAACCAGGAAAATCACTGAAGATAGTAAGCAGCCAACCAACCTTGTCTTACTCCCGTCTTCACTTCTTCGAAGGATTGCGTGAGTTTCCCGTTGTGGATTATTTGACGGCATGCAGCATTGTCGTGCAAGTGTTGGATGAGGTGTATAATTATTAGCCGCACCCCACAGTAGAGACGCCTATTAGAAATCAGCAAATATTATCTTGTCATAATCTGAAAATCCTCTACATACACAACTCAGTCCTTGTATCTCATCAGGCAGAAGAACAAGAAGCAATGACAAAAAACCCATTTGGTAGGACGACCAAATACAAACATTTTAAAATAACTTATTCGTCAGGCACACATTTTATGTGACGAGAAAAGTGTAAGACAGGATATAACCAGCTTAGTGAGGAACTATAAGTTGAACGACCCTTTAGAATCTTTCTCTCTTTATTATATTATTGTTATTATTTTCACTTAATTTAAATTTATATTGACATTCATACTGGAAAATATTATCAGTATAAATGCCCTGTTCTTAGTTATTACACTTATAATAAGAAAGCTAGATGTGCGTCGGTGGCACAGTGGTTAGGATTCTCGCCGACCATGCACATGGTCCGGGGTTCGAGCCCACACCGGCGCACACCTGATATCTATGGTTGGCCTGCAAAATTTGGGCTACCAATATCCATGCTGAAAATTCCATACTTGTACCAAAAATACAGTGTGGAATCAAGCTGTAAATCAAAAAATCAAAATCGAAAATCAATACTCTATTGCACGCTGAAAATTCCATAATTGTACCAAAAGTAATAAAAATATTATTATTAAGTCTGCGGTTGATTTTCTTTTACATTTAAACCCCATGCCTGACACTCAAAGTAAATTTGAAGTTTAAATGATAAATATATATACATAGATATACTTACTTGTTGGTCGACAAATGTCTGTATATTTATCGCAGACATTTCTACCTGGTCAGGAATAATATCCACCTCGGTATCTGGTCTTTCCGTGGTTACAGTTATGGTTAAATCCTGAAAGCAGAAATAAATAGTCAGGGAGTTAAACATTACTAAGTATTCAAAGATCACTTTTCAATCGGTTAAGTTTGACTTACTTTCTCATAAACCAAAATTAAGTCTAGACAGTTCGAATCGAAGACACTTCTTCTGAATATATTTTATCGTATCTCTGCTATAACTGATTTAATGGCAGATGTCTGATATCAGTTTTCAAAACATACCAAAACTGATTTGGATCTGTAGAGAGTACATGGAAATTTTAATGAAATTCCCGCCTCTTTAGAACATACGTCAGCTGAGAACAGACTTCAGTTCCTTGGGCCCAGAATCAAACTATCCACGCAAGTTCGAAAGAAATACATAAGTCGAAAAGGTAGTATTTGTAGGGTTATGATAAGATATAAATTTTTGGTACTACACACGCAACAGGGTTCAAACCCAGCACCTTCTTATTACAAAGGCTAGCCAGCAGACCACACACTCACTAGGACTCGGTCCAATCGTTCATGAATTCCAACTACTGCCTATTCGCAATACGTAGCGCGACCCGCGTTCAATGTCGGTGAATGGAAAGTAATTCTCTTCCCACCTGACCTGATGGACTCTATTGGTCACGAATTCTCACTAAAAGGAAAGAGAACAGTTACTCGCCTATAACACTGGCTGGCAGTTGCGAACGGGTAGAAATTGGAATTCATCAGCCATTGGATGAGGTCCCAGTGGCTTAAACGTCTCTAAACTCACCTGAGTGTGCCTTCTTGTGGATGTTTGCTGACGAACAGTCCAAGACTAGGACGAAACCACTGTCCATTACTCCTAGATGATTTTCCAATAGTTCTGTAACTGATTTCATCTCGTGATCGAAGCTGCAAACCAACACTTGCAAGTTTACTAAACTGTCGAAAATCTTATTTAAAACGACTATTCGCTTTCAATAATTTGACGAGAGTTATTAGAATACTGAGTTTATCTGAATATCGTGATGTATTCGTCAAATACATTTTGAAAAATCGGATCACGCATTTAATTGTCATATAAGTTAATCCATAAAGGAAAACTCAGCGAGGTGTTTGAAGTGAATACAGGAGTATGACAAGTGGCTGTCTATTATCACCTACGATGATATTCCTAATTGTGGTGGACTGCATTGTACATCAGACTGCACGATGGGAGTGAGAAGACAGGAATTCATCGGACCACCTACAAGTAAGCTGTAGAAGATTTGAGTTTTACGCGTTGATGATTTATTTTTAATGCTACACAAACTTGAAGGCTTGCAGGCGAAAACCAACAAACTGGCTGAAGAGGCGAGCAGCGAAGACAGGATTCCAGATGAGCATGGAGAAGATGCAGCTGATGAAGATACCAACGCACCAACCCTACTAACAGCAACCAGCACCAGTCACCACCAATTGGAGAGGTTTGACAAAGGTTGCTTCCTTGACTTATCTTGGAAGTACTATTCAACTAGAGGTGGAACGGATAAAGATGTCAAAGCCAGCTGGGATCAGAAAGGCAACATGCACCCTCATCAGTCTGAAATCAGTTTGGAAACCTTCTGCACTCCACCTCAGAATAAATAACAAGATTTTCAATACAAATGTGAAGTCAGTCACTTCTATATAGATCAGACTTGGCGTGTCACAAAACGGGTTTCCAACAAGTTACGGACTTTTGTCAGCAGCTGCCTTGGCTAATTTCATACTGAAGATCAGAAAGTATTAGCAACAAGAAACTCTGGCAACAAACCAGTCGGGACCCGATTGATTAACAAATATGTAGGAGAAAATGGAGATGAACTGGATATACGTTGTAGAGGCCGTCAAATGCCATCGCACGCCAGGCCATCACTCGAGGGGGTCCAAATAGGAAGCGACGAGTAGTTCGTCAGTTTGAGGACGACATGTATCAGACAGTGTGAGGAGGATATGGGGGATTATGGGGAATTGTGGACCCAGCTGAAGAGTATGGCAGAAACCCTATGCTCCACTCAAAACCCAAGGCAATAATAATAATCAATTTCTATTTTAAAATGAAAGATAAGTTAAAATAAGTAAAATAATGAGGGAGATATGAAGAAAGAGAATAACTATTAAAACTACTCTTGGCAATACAATGAGGTAAAGACTACCAAAGTAAGTAAAGGGTTGGCGGAGGATGTTATCTTACGGATAGCCATGGACTCCTGACAGATGATCTTGGAAGTTGTCTTGGGACTTATATTATTTAGGTATTTATGAGTATAGGTGAGGTTGATAATCTGTTATCTGCTTTGGATATCTTTAACTGATTATGTTATCAAGAAAAGTGTTATTTATTATTATTATTATCCTTAAATCCTTCATTTTAATTTGTCTTCACTTTGCATACAAATCTACAGGCGGAACTGACGAGGATATCAAAGCCAGAATCAGAAAAGCAAGACAAGCTTTCATTACTCTCAAATGTGTGTGGAGGTCAGCAGCACTCACCATCAAAAATAAGATCCGGATTTTCAACTCCAATGTAAAGTCAGTGCTACTCACCATACGGATCAGAGACTTGACCAGCGCGTCATAAAGAGCATCTCAAACAAACTTCAGACCTTCATTAACAGTTGTCTTCGCTCAGTACCAATCAAGATCAGATGGCCGGTCAGAAAAGATCAACAACACGGATCTCTGGCAATGAGCGAACCAACCAGGAACCGATTGTGAAACAAGTATGCAGGAAGAAATGGAGATGGATTGGCTGGCCATACACTGAGGAAACCATCAAGTGAGTGACATCACTAGACAAACCATTGCTCGAGTGGAACCCGAAAGGGAAGCGGCGAGTTGGTCGTCATTGCAAGCGTGACTTGGAGGAGGTCATGCGTGGAGGAGATGAAAGCGTGTGGGAAGACTTTGAGCGGAGTGAAAACGTTGGCAGAGAACCGAACGCAATGGAGACGCGCAGCTGGAGCCCTATGTTCCTCTAGGAATTAAAGGATATAATAAATAATAAATTGCATACAATTCATTTGACCTTTAAGTATGTGATCGGGTTATTCAATATATACTGTGGAAATATATCATAGTATTCGGATAAACTCCGTCACCTAATAAAGCTGTCTGAAACTTTTCAGCATGATAATAAAAATATTAATTATTGCTTTAATACTCTTCCCAAGGTTTATGAGGTGAAAATTGGGCTTCAACAGTGCATCTCCATCTCACCCTGTTTTTCAGAGTCCTCTTTAGCTAGTTCCACAACTGCTTACAAGCCTCCATATCATCCTCAAATGATCACCTTCGCTTCACCATTGAATGGTGGTCTGACGTACTGTGTCATTCAACAGTCTCTTAAGTGTGTGTCCTATCCATCTCCGTTTTTCGGAATATTTGTTGAGAAATAAGTTGTTGCGTGGTTGATTCCCAGATCTCCATGTTGCCTATCCTTGCAGACCATATAATCTTCAGTAAGGAGCCAGCAGAGACAGCTACTGATGAATGTCTGCAGTGGCCTGTTTGAATGCACTTTGTGATGCTCCAAGTTTCTGACTCATATAGTAAAACGGACTTAAAATTGATGTTACAAAGTTTGAATTTTGATTTTTTAATTTGAGTGTAGTTGATTTCCAAACTGATTTCACAGTGATGAAGGCCTGTGTTAGTGGACGCGAACGTTGAACGTTTGTTTATTGAAACTGGTAGCCATTGGTGGGCAACTCGAAGTTGCGAATGGTTCAGTCGTGTACAAGTTGGAAGAAGACGAAAGAATACGAATAAAAGGACATCATATTTAGTATAAAGCATTTGTTTATAGACTTGCAACTACCTTGATTTTATTGCCAAACAATATAACCTTCTAACAAGTACTGGTGTTTCGGAGTTAAAGTTGAGAAACGTACATAGTAATTATCGGTCCGGAGCATCTTCGCAAATAATAGGAACTTAGGTTTAAGTTCCTTGACAGCCTGTCTACTTTGCGTTTCTGACTCTGATTTTGACGTCAGCCTCCGTGGTGTCGCCTGTAGTTGAGATGATGCCACCTAGCCTGCTATGTGAAGCAATTGGCCATTTTCAAATTTCTCTCACTACTACCTTTGCCTGTAACCGATCCTTAACGTTTTGTTGAGGGGCGATTTCATGAAAATACACCCTTATTAAAATTTGAAAGAAGTTTTGATTTCCCAAATTTTTTTTCTCTCTTGCACCCACTTGTGTCCATCAGTATTCCTGGCAAGTCAGCTTCTCCAGATTTTTTCTGTTCTATACGGTGCTTGCACTTATATTCCACCATCTCTCAAGAATAATAATTCAATGACTTTAAAAGCAATAGAGGTCTTTCATATGAAGTTCAGATAATATCGTATTGCGCAGCCTACGCCTTTCTCCTATTTTATCAAGATACACTCTGCATGCTAAAAATTCATATGTATATATAATCATTTTTTTTCAGTGGTGAAATATATTTTATATTTACTGAATGCATCATCAATCTACTTGTATCTGATGGAATGTTTATTCAGCTGGTCTGTGCAAAAAATAACCGCCAGATGAAGATATATTTATAAAATGCCTGATGGGTGGCTTCCAGCTTGTGTTTCAGCTAGAGATAAAAGAATTAGACTTTGAAGGCTTTGAAAGCTTAAGTCATTTGAGTACTCCCGAATTCTTGGGGGTCAAGATGAATCAAATTATCATCATTTTCTTCACAACAATTATTTGATGACTGAGGATAACCTTCAAGAAGCCTTGCTCGACCTATTCTGAATGCTTGTTGGTACTCATTAGTCAGTAAGACGTACCTATAATGCCGAAGGTACTTATTTCCCTCGTGAAGTTTCAACCCACGTTGTCACCTAGTTCTGCACAGTTAGGGACGTTGCCTTATAGGCTGTTTGAGCTCACGACTGACCTCCAGTAGGACTGTACTGAACACTTTGACTGGACACATTCAAAACCTGATTGATACAATTAAATCTGTACCGAATAAAGAATTAGACGCATCAAACTAGTTACTTACTACCTACTGTTCAATCAGAGTAT